TCTAATACTTGACCCTCTTTCCATTTTGGGATGTTCTCTATTAGTTGTCTCCCTTTCTACTTTTGGTAAGTTTTTTCAATAAATATACTCATTTACCCTCATTCTCTTTCCTACTTTTCATTCACTTTCCTACTTTTACCTTTACACACAACCCACTACACCTTTTATCCTACCCCTATTAATTCCTTCTCAAATCTTGTGCCAAAGGCTATACTCCCATTTATTAGAGAACGGAGGGAGTATATAGTAAAAAGAAATAAAATTACACATATCCAAGTAGAAACCTCATTACTACATAAAAGAATAATTCTTAATTTGCATAAGGCGATACAAAAATAAAAATAGTAATCAAGTCCAAGACATAATTTTGCAAACTAATGTCAACAAATAAGATATAATAACAATAGAATGAGACTAAATTAAAATCATTATCTTTATATGATCTTCAAATATGACGAATGACATTTGAGAAAAGTTGTGCGACTCATACGCACGCTTGTTATTATTTATGTGTAAAAGTTTATACCAAAAACAATTTCAGGTTTAGAAAAACTTTAATTGTGATATGCTTGTTTGGAAAAACTACTAAATCTAGTAGTACTTTAAGTTTTGGTCTTAGTATTTAACAATTGTATTCTAACAATACAAAAACATGGGGTGACAGGCAGGAGTTTTCTTTTTTGCTTTTAAACCATTGTTGATCTCCTATGCATTTAATGCGTTCATTCAATTGATCAATTCATGTTTTATTTTTTTGTAAAATATGGGATGCTAGCTTTAGCCGCTATGCAATTAATTTTAGTATTTAATAATTGTACTGTAACAATACAAAAACACGGGGTCACGTGGAGGAGCTTTTTTGCTTTTAAACTATTGTTGATCTCTTATGCATTTAATGCGTTCATTCAATTGATCAATTCATGTTTCTATTTTTTGTAAAATTCGGGGAATATACGTTTTATACGGGAAGTAAGAGATTTTTTCATTTTTAAAAGGATCGACATGATTTTTCATTTTCAATGTGTTTTTTGTTCAAAAAAACAGTGCATGTTTAAAATGCATTTAAAACACAAAAAAACTAACTAGGTCAGAAATTACCACATTTCACTCACCATATAGAGTTGGACACACTTTATGCTGTTGGGCCTATGTAATATTCAAATTCCTGAAAATTTGCACTTTATTCAAGTTATGAGTGTGAAGTGTTGTTTATTTGCTTTGAATGGGATAGAAATGGCAAGGGCAGTTAAACTTCAAGAAACGTGGAGGTGGGATGACTGAGGTTGATTCATCAAGACGTGGTGGAGGTTCGGAGCTAAGAAGGTCTGCATCCTTCAGAGCCCGGGGAACAAAAGCCCAGATATCAATGTTCTGTAATTCTGCAGCTCCCAATGGCAGCACGAGTTTGGATTTCAATAGGGACTCAAGTGTCCATTCAAACTGGCACAGGCTTGCTTCAAAATATAATCGAATAACAGACGCCATGTCTGTTCATCTGGGAAGATCAAATCACTCTCAGAAGGAGGAGCAATCGACTAGGAAGGATTCTATGATGGTAAATCATCTAATTTCACTCGTCAAAATCTGGCTGTTAGATATTACTCAAAGCACAAATCTGGCTGTTTCTTAAATACACACTTGTAAGAATAGATTTTTTTGTATGATTTGAATAGACAGAAATGTAGAAGTAATGGATAGAAAAGGAGGAGATTAATATCTCTCCAATTTCCTTTCATAAGGTAAAACATAAAGGGAGGTGGGACCCACTATTTCATTTCTCTACTCAGCATTTCTCCCCTATTTCATTCCCCTCTATTTTGGGAGAGAACAAAAGGACATATGAATTAGTAGAGGTATATGAGTTTATCATTTGTGATAGATTTTGTGTATTACGTAGTATTTGATAGGAGAGAAATGTAGAAGAAATGGGTAGAGAGGGAGGAGATTCATTTATCTCATATTTCTTTCCATATGACAAAGCAAATAAAAAGGAGTTGGGACCCACTATTTTATTTCCCTACTCTCCATTTCGCCCTATTTCTTTCCACTCTATTTCTTCAGAGGACAGAAATGCGTGAGAAAGTGAGGGATAAGTAAGAATTAGTACAAGAATAGGGTAGCTTTTGTGTATTTGTAGAGGAAGAGGGTAGGAGAAAAATATCAAGAAATTAATAGAGAGGGAGGAGTATCAGTTCTGTCTTATTTCTATTTCCATGAGATAGAAGAAGAAATAAAGAGGAGGCGGTACCCACTATTTCATTCTCTCCTATTTCATAACCAAACAAAGGTGAGAAGTGTTACTTTAACTATTGAAAGCACCTTTTTCATTTTCTTGCCAAACACTATTTTTTGAAGTAAATCCTTTTCTTCCTCTAAAAAGTACATATTCGTTGTAGATAAGTCATCCCAGGTGCACTATGTCCCCCCCCCCCCCCCCCCCCTTTTCCCGCCTAGATCTATCCCGTCCCACCTGACCCTGATTAAAACCAATGCCTCTCACTTTTTAGTTTTACACCATTGGTGTTGCTCATCATTTTTTGGGTTTAAAATACATTCTCTGCAGGGTTATGTACCAGAGAATGGAAACATACACTACTCTGGGCCTTTGATCCCAGCAGGGGGGAACATAGATGAAATGCTGAAGGAGCACGAGAAGCAGATCCAAAATGCTGTACGTAAAGCCCGTCTCGACAAAACCAGCAAGGGCCAAAAAGTTTACAGTGACTATGGACACTCAGAATCTCTCTTGCAGTATGTGGGGAATGGACGGTAACTATCGCTGTAACTTTCAGAAAGAGAACAAAGTGCAGCAATGTACAAAAAGGATGAATAAAGATGACACATTTTATTATCAGCTTGTACAAAAGTAATTTCCTTTGATCATATTTTTGTTGCACAAAATATTCTTGTTCAATTTTTACATGATCAATCCTTCTCTGTATGTAAAAAGCTACTCCTTATTAAAAAGGGGGTTATCATTCTTGCAATCGTGTAGAAAGTTTGTACTGTTTGATGTATTCATAGAGCCAGCCAGATTCAGATAGTATTTTTATATTTCAGGGTAAATGGTTCTTGGACAATTTCCTCATTCAAATCTGGTATATATGAAAATTTTGTACATTCTTGAATGTATACATTTGCAATACTATGTTTTAAGGTCTCGTGGGAATCTAGGGTATATGTAGTAGCTAAACAGATTTTCCTGCTTTGAGGTATATGAATTGATGATGTTTCATTGTTTGATGCATAATAATTACATTACTTAATTAGTTTTTTGGGTGAAATTATCATTCCTATAATCCTATATTTCTGTGGTTGTTTGAACTTTGAAGCATGCGACAAAGCGAAGCAATGTACTTTGATTCTTTGAAAAGTTGCAGATGAGTCAAATGTAGTATCAATTATGATGTCGATATGTATTTGAGATAACTTTGAAATCAAGACTCGAATTGAAGATAAGAGTGAAGTTGTTTTTGTAATTTGTATCATATCAACATGGGCCCGGCCTAAAAAATGATTGGGGGGGGGGGGGGGGGGGGGGGTGAGAAGAATTAATAAAATATAAAAAGCACATTTGGTAAGAGTTACTTTCTCGGTTTCTCCCTCCCACATTTCTAGTCTAAAATAAAATGGTTTACTATATTTGACTCAACATAATCTTGATTATTTCATTTCAACACTAAAAAAAATTTAATTTGAATATGATGCAAATTTGGCATATACGACTAGATGTAAAACTGAATCGGGAAGGCTGGAATGATTGAATTTGCTTAGTTTTTGAAAACAAATCCTTTGGTGAAGTCCATCTAGAGATGGATTGGGACGGGTCGGCCTGACCCGAGACCCGGCCCGGTCAGCCAATACCGGGGGCCCGAACCGGGATTACTTGGGGCGGGCTAAGGGTTGAGGAAAATGTGGACCGGACTGGTCGGGTCCAATTTTTCTTTTTTAAGTTTTTCATGTTGATTGGCTGCTAGGTGAATGGGGATGGGTGGTTTGGGGTGGGTGGGGGTAGGAATAAATTCAAAAAGACAGATTTTAAAAACAAAAAATTGTGCTCGACCCGACCCGACCTGACCCAACCCGATCCTGGTACAAACTCGGGCCGATACTGGGCCTGCAACCCAAAATTTTAGTCCATCCCTAAGCCCATCACAGTTCAATATGTAAACCAAAAACAACTTTTTTTGCATTTATGTTCGCAAGCTGGTAAGCGCAACATAGCAACTTGTGAGAAATTTCATAATTATTGTTTGTTGACAATTGACATCATTTTCTAACTTTCAACATAATCAATTAGGTATCCAACATAAGACCTTCTAACTACTTTTTATAGTTTAAAGTTGATGGAAGCATACTCGTATATGGTTAAGAAAAAACTGAAAAAACTACAAATACTCAAATAGCTCATAAAAATTGTTTACCAAACACGTAAATTTTGATTTCGTGCACTGAGTTATGTAATCAAAATAAGTAACGTTGGAGTTACTTTTCTGGTTGAATTAACTGAAGTTACTGTAAATGATTATTTAGTTATATTCGTATAGTTTTTTCTTTATTTTATTAATAAAATACTACTAGTACTATATTTTAAATATAATTTTTTCAAAATTGAATAGAATCCGTCCATCCAACCATTTTAATCAAAATTTCATAAATTTCAGTAGAATCAGCGGATTCAGCATGGGCTCTTCATGTTCCAGTTCTCCAAAATCCGCCAAAGACTGTACGTATTCTAGCTGTATCATGAAAATGTATATTACCATTAGTTCATCTCCAATTCTCAGCCACAGTCCAGGCTCCACCATTCACAACCCACAATTCATATTTTTTTTTTCTTTTTTAAGCAAAAGACACCAAAGCTCAAAATAATCAAGATTAGTTAGCACATGGTCCACCTTCCATATGAAAATCTCTTTTACCAACTTCACATCTTTTCCAACAAGCAAGCATACAATAGTGGTAATGCTCTTGCTTCATACAAGTATACTTCATCATAAGTCATAACACCTCAAAATCTATATATCCTTAACTCCAACTCTTCTCATGCACAACCCATATTTTGCTTTTAAATAAATTTATTCATCATAATTCTTGAAAATAGTATACTAGAGAGCAATGAGACACAGAACACAGTTCTCACCCAATTGGAGAGTCATCCTCATTTGCATTTTTGTATCTTTCTTCATTCTTTTTGTAACAAAATCATTCATTGCATCATCTCCATCATCATCTTCTTCATTCCACCAAGGACTCTCACCTTCAAAGGTGAGAGATAAATGCTCCCTACAAAGCTGCAACAAACTCCCAACATCAGTGGCTAAATCTCTCATCCATTACTCCACCTCAAGCATCATACCCCAACAAACCATCAGAGAAATATCAGTCACGTCGAAAATCTTAGACAAGAAGTCCCCTAGCAACTTCTTAGTTTTCGGCCTCGGACATGATAGCCTAATGTGGCACACACTAAACTATGGGGGCAAAACCGTCTTTCTTGAAGAGGATGAAGATTGGATACAACAAATCAAGAGGAGGTTTCCAATGTTGGAATCTTTTCATGTTAGTTATGATAGTAAGGTCAACCAGGCAAGTCAATTAATGGAAGTTGGCAAAGGACCAGAGTGTACATCAATCTCAGATCCTAGGTATAAGAGCATAGTATATATTACTCTATACTCAATCGGTGTGTGACAAATAATTTAACATGTCACTCGACCCAAACCGGACTGGACAATTAAATTAGATAAATGCCCCAATCATTCAACCAGGCCCCTAAATAGGTTACCATAATTCATGGGTACGAAGCATATAATTAGAACGAATTATTACTAATATTAGTTTATTAATTAATACCAACCTGATATAGGATAAAAATACTAACACTTTTACTATTAAGACTTGAGATTTCAACACGAGAAGAATATCTCAATGTGTACTTATTCAAGGTAGGATAATTTATCTTTTAACATATAAACAGGTATTCAATGTGTCAACTGGCATTAAAAGGACTGCCCAGTGTGGTGTATGAGGTTCAATGGGATTTGATCATGGTGGACGCGCCAACCGGGTACCACGAGGAGGCACCCGGGAGGATGGCAGCGATTTACACGGCAGGAATGATGGCCCGAAACCGAGAAGATGGAGGTGAGACAGAGGTTTTTGTCCATGATGTGAATAGGGTGGTGGAAGACCAGTTCTCTAAGGCATTCCTGTGTGAAGGTTATATGAAGAAACAAGAAGGGCGTCTCAGACATTTCACCATTCCAAGCTATAGGACTAATTTGGAAATGCCATTTTGTCCCTAGTCAATATTTCATCATTATTCTCATTAAGGCATACTTACTCTTAAGTCTTAACCGATCATACTAGTTTTTTATTCATCTATTTTCTTTAGCATTCTTTAAAACTATTGAATTTGGCATTTTCTTTAACATTCTTTAAAACTATTGAATTTGGCATTTTGTGTTTAATATTTATTATTTTTTATGTAGCTTACACACACACACTTCTCTATTTTCATTTTTTTTTTCAGACCTTAGCTTGTACAGGCTTAGGGGGCCACGCTCCAAAATATTTCTGACTTCTCCAAAATATAAGTAAATGTAATATTGGTTTTACCAAATTTAATTGAATATTTACTAATAGTGAAAACTCAAAGAAATCGAAAAATAAAAAACAAGGAGTTAAAAAGTGACATCTACTCTATATTTGAATCTATTTACTACGAATTATTGTGTATTCTATTAAACAAAAATCTAAAAAATTGAGGGTAAGCCCGATTTCTAAAAGTGGAGAGTCAAAGTGACATATATGTACTCTAATAATTTATACTCCGTATGTAAATAAAATGAGGGATTTTTCAAAAGCTTTTGACTCAAAAACTGTAATTGAGGAATTTATTTCCTTGAAGGAACGTCGCACACAATTTTATGGTATAAACTTCACTCTTTTGTAATTATATGTTTCTCTCTTCTTCTAGATTTTTTTTACCAATTGTGCACTATTTTAATGCTTCATTTTATATACTACTACTTCCATGTTGGATAAGGTTCTCATTGCAAAATGACACTTATTTTGATAAATAATTAAAAAGGTAATTTTAATTGATTTTGATGAATAATTTGATGAGTATATAATATAATGATGTCATTAATTATAAATGTGATGTTAAAAATTAATTATTTTTAATATTTGATGATTAAATTATAATTTTAGAGTGCTAATTGTTTTCTAAAATAAAAATGAGAATCTTTTGCTAGAATGTCTAAAAGTAAAGTTCGTTAAAAAAAAACTCCGAAGTAAAGTTAATAATAAATAAGTGCCACTTAATAGTTCAAAAATTAATAATAAAAAGTGTTCATTCAAGTACATATCTAGCATTAGAGTACATCTTCCTTTCTAGCTCGGGCAAGCAAATTTGCCAAAACAAGCTAGTTGCTAGAAAGGAGAGAAATTTGAACTAAAATAGTTATACCAAATATTTTTTAATTTATTGTTAATTGATTTACTAAATTAAATAAAAATGCAACTGTAAAGTAATGCAATAAACGGTAAAGTTCTAACTTCTAAACCCCTGGAAAGTGCAACGGTAAAGTAGTGCACTACAACGATAAGCATTAAATATATTTATTTTATTTAATGTTTTTGCTTTGTTAATTTTAGGAATTGTTTAATATTCTCATGAAATATTTAAAGTTGATATTTCTCAATATGTATGTGTTGTTAAAATTTCATATTTCTTTTTTTACTTAACAAAATACATATTTTTGTACTATTTTTAAAAACATATCTTTTCATATTATTGTCGTTATAATAATAATAACACTAATAATTTATGGGTATAAAAATATCATATACATTCTCCCATTTTAAAAATATTTCAATATAAGTATTATTTTTATTGTATTAATAAATCAATTCATTGACAATGTATATTTTCAAAATTGATTGATTTGTGGGGTCTATTCAATAGACAAGCATCGTAGCTAACCTTGGGACAATTACATTGGTGTAAAATGAATTAACTAGAAAAAAAATGATGTGACAAGCAAAGCTACAATGTGTTTAGCTAGCCTGCTCTAATTCATGCTATAATTCATTTGGTGACCCTTATTTTTGGTTTATTAGGTTTATTAATCATTTATTTTTTATTGTGTAATAATAAGAAAAAGTAAGTTTGAAACTCTTTTTCTCACTGTATTGACTGAAATTACTATAGAGTATCATTTTAGTTGCTTTTCAAATAATTTTTCTTTATTTATTAATAAAATATATTTTTTTTTTATAAATCAATAGAATCAACCAATCCATCCACTTCAATCAGAATTTCATAAATTTCTGCATAATCAACCAATATAGCCAATTTGGATATTACCAAACGGGCTCTATACTTTTCCTAGATCAATATTTTACTTAGTTTCGCCTTGACTCATAATTTCACCAAATTTCCTTTTTTATTTTTCTCAAAAGTTTTGTCAATTTCTTTTTAAATTAATGAATTTGTGGCTCTATTTATTTCTTCCTCCTCTACATAAATCTCAACCACACAACTTTTATTATTCTAATTTCATACCCAACATCAACTTTACAAAATTGAGTTAAACCAAGTTAGTATGTACTAATATTATTGACATTATTATTGTGTTCATTTCAAAATTATTATTTTTTACTTCTCATTATTTTTAGGGAGAACTATCAAATAAGCCCTCGAACTTACATAAAAAGTGCAAATAAGCCCTTTTATAGGAGGACCTGTCTGGCCATCGCCATTTGGGGCGGTTCCTGGTGGAATTTTTTGATTAAATTTTATGAGCATCTTATTCACTAAGTCTAGTTTACTCATACCAAATTTCAACTGAATATTCAATCGGGAAGGCACCCAAATGAATTTTTGAAGATAACCGTGCAGTTAAACATCACAATATATTTCAGAAAATCATTTGACTGCCGTCTCGGTTGAAGTTTTAGCTGAAATTTCGTATGGGTAAACTAAACTTAATGAAGAAGATGCTCAAAACATTTCATCAAAAAATTCCACTAAAAACCACCCCAAATGGCGATGGCCGGACATAGCCTCATATAAAAGGGCTTATTTGAACTTTTTATGTAAGTTCGAGGGCTTATTTGATAGTTTTCCCTTATTTTTATCCCAACTTTCTCTTTTTATTTATCAATTTCTTTTATCATTCTTTTTATTTATCGATTAAAAATGTCTTATATTATACATGTTACTCAATAATAATATTTTTATGGTTTAATTCTTTTCTATTTTGTTTTTACATTCCATTTTTTAATCTTATACGAGTGTATATCTTTTATTCTAAAATACTAGCAATATCTTTTCTGTCAGATTGGTTAATCATCGTACGATATTTCATTTAAAAAATATTCATATCTGGATATCTATTTCAGTAGTCAGTAGATATTATTTTCGATTGATTATTTTGAGCTCCCTAAAAAACAAGGTTTCATTCTCTTCAGCTTCAAAGGATACGAAGGGTTGAAGACAAACCAGCTCCTAAGAAAAAGAGCAGAGCAGATCGAAAATCCATCCCAGAAAGGAAGACATGAGTAACGAATAGTGAGATATTCAGTATCTTTCTCTTACTAGATGTGTCAAGCTTATTCGCATTTGGAATTTTTTGGTTGATTTCTGATTTTTGGGTATTTTGTAGCGATTATCTGTTCAAACTGTTGCTGATAGGAGACTCTTCCGTCGGCAAGTCTTGTCTTCTTCTCAGATTCGCTGTATGTTTATCTCCTTGCCCCGCTCTCTATATGTATCGTTGTAAACAAACACACCTCCATGCCTGAGCTACTTGCTGGTTTTCTGTGTGCTTATCGATGAGAACTTGCAGTAGTAGAGCCTGGAATAGTTGATTGTTTGTGTTCTTTTTCCCTCTAGGGGTCAAATGCTTACCTTAGGATCATGCTTTGCTCATGAAAACCGAAGTTGTGATCTTGGTCTGAAGTTTGTGCCTTTGATGAATATACTTATGTATTCTGGGATGATATCTAATTAATTATTTCCCAAAGCTAGTGGCATTGATGAAGATAATTTTGGTCTTGATGATATTTCATTTGATCATGTCAGGATGATTCATATGTTGACAGTTACATTAGCACGATTGGAGTTGATTTTGTAAGACAATATCTTTAACTAATTAAATTTCATTTTACTATTGTTCGGATTATTTTTGAAGAAATTTCCTCATTTTCCTCAATTTGCAGAAAATTAGGACAGCAGAGCTTGATGAGAAGACAATCAAGCTTCAAATTGTGAGTATTTTATATTTCGTGTTCTGATATATATACGTCATTTGATGATTTAGAACATCTTCTGAATTGGCAAAATAAACAGCTTTCATCGTTTTAAAGCATTTCATTTTTGTTTTGCTAGTGGGATACTGCTGGCCAGGAGCGTTTCCGAACTATAACAAGCAGTTACTATCGCGGAGCACACGGGATTATCGTAAGATGAAATCACATCATATTGTACATTTGTAAACTCACGCAGTCGGCAGTCCCATGAATTATCTTATTATATGAAAAACTAATGTGGCCCCAGACTATTTTGGGACTAAGGCTTGGATGTTGTTGATGTATGAAAACCTAATGTGGGTAGCGACATTTAAGTTACATGAAATGTCTCAATTAAAGCTTCATGTGTTAGTATCTCTGGTGCATGAATCTAGTCTTTCCTTGCTGTTCGCATAAGGGGTGGATTTGTGTATGGGTCCCTCGGGCCCTCCTTGATGCTTTTTGTTTGATTACTAGTGTTTTAATAATGAAAGGATTCTTTCTTCCATCCAAATTGTTCTTACACTTTTGAATGATAGATTGTCTATGACGTAACTGAAAGGGAAAGCTACGAGAATGTCAAGCAATGGCTAAATGAAATTGACAGATACGCAAGTGAAAGTGTATGCAAGCTCTTAGTCGGGAATAAGTGTGATATGGTGGACAACAAGGCTGTGACAACAGAAGAAGCAAAGGTATTGATACTTGATAATACATTTGATACTTTTCTAATAAAAAAGTGCATTCTTCTTATATCAATAATTGGAGAAAAGAACATTTTTGTTGATTGTTTCTGATTATATGATGTTGATGATGTTCAATCAAAATGAAGGCATTTGCGAATGAGCTCGGGATTCCTTTCCTTGAGACCAGTGCAAAAGATTCCATCAATGTGGAGGAGGCTTTCTTAACCATGGCTGGCGAGATTAAGAAAAAGTAATTACATATTACCTCTTGCCGTGCTTATTGTTCCCATGATCTCTTCCTTTGTACCGATTGTTGCCCAAAATATCTTTTTATGGTTCTTTAATAGTATATGAAGTACTGGGCAATAACGTTGATACTGCATTTCCTGATTTCCCTAACAAAATGTTTTAACTTTTGATCCCCACAACTATTAGGTCATTCGCACCTTTAATCTTTGACTTTTTCATTATTTCCACATTTGGTGTATGCATATGGAATATTTCTCCCTTTTGGTCCTTATGACCACTTAACCGGTCGATGTCAGTACACTTACTGGCTGATTTTGATTTGATAAGTGATTGGGAAGGACCAAAGGGGTGCGGAATGTGTAATTGTGCACCACAATTATATATAGTGAACGTTAGGGACTAAATGTGGGAATGACCCTATAGTCTTGGGACCCAAAGTGGAATGTTTTCTCTTCATAATCACAGAATTGCAAAAGATTTGAATGCGGTCTAGTATCCTACTAGTATTAAAATTGCGACTACAATGGTCGCCTGTTAGGACATTAATACATGCTTTCAGAAACAACAATTCAGTCCTTATGTATTGAAACTGATTATGCTGTTTCAAGCAGAAGAAAATATAAGAATCAGATTTAAGGTGTCTAGTATAATTTCTTGAAATAATCGGTTTCAAAATCAACTCATCACATGATTTTAAACACTGATTATGATTGTATCATTTTTTCCAGCTATTTTGTTTCAAAGACGCATCACAATTCACAACAGCAGCTCTGCCAAACATTCATTTTGGTGTCACGTACATACAATATATTTAGATTTTGATTTGGCAGAAACTTCATTTTTTCTAATACCCTCTTATGTAGAATGACAGAATCATACTCCGTATTTAATAACAAGTATTCATAATTTGCTGGTAACTTCTTCTATGAATTCAATTCTACTGCAGAATGGGTAACCAGCCTGTTGGAAGCAAGAAGACAGCTACTGTTCCCATCAGGGGACAGCCAATTGAGCAGAAAAGCAACTGCTGTAGTTAATGCCCCCCTCCCCAAGAAGTCAGCTACTGTTCAAAACCTCTTCTTCACTCCTGTAACTATGTGATAGACAATTAACGTTGCTCCCTAATGTATTTGCCAAGTTACGTTACATTTGTTTTCTTTTATGTGCTTTTAGTGAATATCAGTTACCCTCAATGCTTTATAGCTCGGACCCAATACTTGGCTAATTGGGGGATGTAACAGTTAAAATTATGTGGGCTAATTGATTAGCCTGGCAGTGGGGCAAAATCAGTTCTCAGTTTAAACAAGGGGTGGTCACGATGATGTATATTCTACAGTTGGATGTAGCTGGTGGATGGCATCTAATTATCTAAATGAGCTCTCTTCAGATGAAAATAGGCTTGGACTCGGGCCGGGTCAGGCCCGGCTGGGCCGCCAGTTCCGTATCCATAGGCCCGAGACTGGCCCGGGTCTTGACCGGTTCCGGGCCGGGCTGGTTCCGGTTATTTTTTTTTTATTCTTATTTATTTCACCCCCATCCCCCCAACCCCCCAAACCCCTCGGAAATACCCAGCCCAACTAACCCCAGCCCAAACCAAAAAAATCAAAAAATAAAAATAAAAAAAGGCCTGAACCGGGCCCGGTCCGGCCGGACCGGTTCCCCTTTTCCCTTACCTGTGCCCGGAACCGGTAGACCCCCCGGGCCTAGGCCCGAACCGGAACTGGACCCGGTTTCCCGGGCCGGACCGGTCCTGCACAGTAGCGGGCCGGGCCGGTTCCCGGGCCGGGTGGCCTGCACCGAGTCCAAGCCTAGATGAAAAATGAGCATTTTCTTGCATTCAAATGACATTTTATGGAATGAGAATGAGCAGAAGTGAAACGAACATTATTCTGTTGCAAAATGGATCACCAATATGTACTTATGGTGTCACTGGATTCATATGTTTTTTTGAACTATTTTACTCGGAAATAGTTTGAGATGATATACGATAGTACGTAATATTCAACAACTCTATTGGGTCGGAGTGTGGGGTTGCTTGGGGTGAGTGATTCCATCTTTTAAGTTGAATTCACGTCTTTCTCAATAGTTACAAATTGATTTTACATTCTGATTGAATTTTAGGTAAAGACCGCATACATCTGACCTCCGCTTACCCCATCGTAGGTGGGAGCCTTTGCGACACTGGGGTAATGATGATTGAATTTTAGGTTAAATTTGGATGGTATTTGTGCTGTTTTCTTCCAATACCATGATTCTTGCCACCCTAGTTTAACAAAGGTTTTAATCAATTGTTAGTTTAGTCCAAAACCGCGTAAAGGAAGAGGATATCTACAAAGTGAGATCGTCTAAATAGCTAATGTTGTTCAATTTTGGCAGATCTCTTTAAATTAATCCATTTTTAGAAGATAGTCAAATGGAGCGCCATGGCACGTTGACTTGGTAGACAAATTAGATTAAAAAATGATTTGATAATTTGAGTCAAACTGTTACCACTTCATCCCCACAAAGAAATTAAAGTTCAATTATCACTCCTATACTTAAAACTTACTTCTAAAACTACTACATATGCTCATGAAGAAAATGGACATGAAAAACATGTAATATCTTCGCATTCAAAAATTAATATTTGTGAACTATGTTACACAGATGTTGATTTGTGTAATAGACATTCTCATATGAAATATTTGATTTGCTTCACACAAACTTATTATGTGTGTGAACTATCTTGAATGAGCATGGACTAGTGCGCGAAGTATTGTGAAGTGCACATATATAACTAACATGGTTGAATTACTTAAACATATAAAGACATTCATACAAAACAAATAGTTTAGACCCAAACTAATACATACAAAGTGCTCTCAGTTAAGCTGTGGAACAGCAAGTTCTCTTGGTCACTGTCTCCTGTGCATCAACAACAAGACTCCTTCCTTTCTTTACACTACCACTAACGCCATTTGACTCGGCTAGAATCGACTTCTTACTGACGACCCTAGCCAACATTTCAGAAAGAGCGGTCTGGAACGCTTGCTCCACATTGGTTGCCTCCAAAGCAGAGGTTTCAATAAATGAGAGACCTTCCCTTTGCGCATAACTCTCACCATCCTCCGTCCCGACTGCCCGGAGATGGTTAAGATCGGTCTTATTCCCTATGAGCAGAATGACGGTGTTTGAATCCGCGTGCTCTCTCAGTTCCTTCAACCAACGGTCGATGTTGTCAAAGGTGACGGGCTTTGTCACGTCGTAGACTAACAATGCTCCGACTGCGCCTCTGTAATAGGCACTGGTTATGGCGCGATACCTCTCCTGCCCTGCTGTGTCCCATATTTGAGCCTTCACCGTTCTTCCCTCCACCTGCATTTAACACCCTAAGCTGTGATTTATGAAAACTCAGAACAATGCACACCAAACTTAGGAATGTTGCTGACAATAGTAATGTCATAATTGACGTTACTATCCCTCCGTCATAATTCATAAAATACAATGACCAATCTGGAAAATCGCATAAAGTAAAAACCAAACATTCATGTTTTATAACAATTATGTTATAAATCTATCAACCATGAAATTCACACGGATTTTTGTATAGCATAATGACCCTCTCTAAAATGTTCAAATCTAGAAGTGTCTCATCTCGAAACACTAGTGTCATGATAGTAAGAGCATGACATAATAACAGGGGCACATGAAACTTTTATACGAGTAATAAATTAACTTTGTCATTTTATCTACAATGGTGGTTATTTTTCCCCATTTTGACTTAATTTAGGGAACATCGAAAAGGAAAGTGATAATTTAATCGTGCGAAGGTGCGATAAAGTATTGGACTATTCAACTAGAAAAATGGTTGGTGTACAATGCTTGTACACAAGTTGTACACACTATAAAAGCAAAAAAACTTATTTTCCCCCTCTCCCTTCTCTCTTCCCTCTCCCCTTCCTCTCTTCCCTCTCTCCCTCCTCCATTTCCTCTTCACCCATTCCCTTCGAAAATCCCCCAAAAAATGGATGAACTTCTTCATCATCCTCTTCCCTTCTTCATCCTCTTTTTCTCTACTTTTTTATATCATTTTTTTCCATTACTTGCACAAAATCAGTTTATTCATCTTGTTTCATCTATTTTTATTATTTTTTTAATTTTTTTTAATTGCATGTAAATTGATCACACTTACAACTACATCATTCATTTGGATGTATATAGACAATTAAATTTTTTGTTCACCTGACAATTAAAATTGATCACACAGACAATTAAAGTAGATCACACTAACAACTATTGTCTGTGAGTTGCACAACTATTGTTTGTGTGGTAAATATTGTCTGTGCACACAAGTAAATAATTCTCTGTGCACACAGACACTGCACACATACAGATTGATTTGCACGCTGGTGTCAGTGTCAGACGGATGTCAGTGTACATTTTTACATGAAAATTAATATCTGTGGACACATACAAGAGTTGCCTTTGATCGACACTTTGTGTACAAGTTGTGTGCAACTTGTGTACACGTACCATTTGTGATTCAAATAGGTAGTATAATCAAAAGGAGAAATGTGAACTTAATGAGGGCCATCTCAACAAAAGTGAGAACATTAAAAGTATGAACTAAGAAACATGTTTGGAACAAATGATTTTAGATCAAATTTAAAATAAAAAAGATAAAAAGCAACATGTCCACTAATTAATACCTCCGTCTCAATAAGAATACATGTCTTACTAACTCCTCCCTTCGTCTCAAAAAATACTTTCCGGTTTGACTTGACACGTTTATTAAGAAAGTGAGAATAAAGTGAAAATGTATGGTTGTGATTGAGCAAGAAAAAAGTAAATAAATGTAAGTCACACGACATTTTCAAGAAGGGGAAATTTTTGGGAAGAGCCAAAAGAAAGAAAGTGGGGTCTATTTTTTGGACCTACCGAGTACAATTTTAGCATGAGGGAGGTAATAGTAACTACAAGCAGCAAGTGGGTAGAAAGTTCGTAGTTACCACAATGGTAGCAGCGGACTTAGCAGCATTGGGCTGGAAATGCTAAACAAAATTGACTATCAATCTAGCAATTAAGCAATGAATGAAACGGACGAGTACCTGAAGAGTACGGGTTGCAAATTCAACGCCGATAGTGGACTTGGATTCAAAGCAGAACTCATTTCTGGTGAATCTGGAGAGCAAGTTCGATTTCCCGACCCCCGAATCGCCGACCACCACCACTTTGAACAGGTAATCGTATTCCTCGTCCGCCCTCATCGCCCTTCCTCCTCCTTTGTCTCTCTCTATATGTATAAACACACACACATAAGTGATTGGTGAAGAAGACGTAGGAAATCGCCTTAAATGACGGGAAGGACCCCGGAGCGACAAGCTCACGTGAACGTGGTCGGATCCTGCTGGTTAGACTTTGGTTGGACTGGAATTGCATAGATATTTAAGGCGATTTAAAGTATAAATCGTATGGGCCCTGTCGCTGTAATTTTTAATGCAGCGGGACTGCTTTGTAATTTTGAGTTTCATCTGCATTTACTTAATGCGGTAGTTATTTTCAGGGACAAAAATAGGGAAAAAAAATTAAGGGAGAAGGAGAATAGAGAAATGAGAGAGATCTCTATTGAGGAGAGATCGTTGCGATTTCTTCTATTGCTCTGTTCGTTTTCGTCGCAATTCATTCCAGGTTCGTTTCTCGGATCTCTGTATATTCTGAATCCTGAATATATTTGGTTTTTAGTTAGATGGTGCTTTGAATAAATGAAAATTTTGTAACTTCTATTCATCGTCTGCTTTGGGAATCTCCTGTGATTATAGATTTGTAATTTGGTTTGAATTAGTTTGAAATTTCTACTGCCTATATCCAATTGATGATCTCATAATCATGATCGCTTCTTCTAGTTTAAGTTGGGGAGTATTGAAATAAATGGAAAAGGTTACTCATAGCTGCTGGATCAAAATGGCACTTTGATCTTATTTTTGGGAAGTTTTCTTGGATTACCACCCTTTTCTAGAAATATGATTGCAAAACAGCCCTTTCTGTAGAATGGGAATCATCTGTCCCAGTGTCCCACTTTTCCTGTCTCACTCATTTGCATTCTGTTTGGTTGATGTCACACCGACTCACACGAAGTCAATTACTTTTAACTACTTAATACGGAGTAATAAAAACTACTTTGGAGTTAATGTTTGCATCGGCCAATGAGATTGACCGACATGAAAAATGCGATTAAAGATTTGAGCTCTTTTTCTGTATATTTAGTTAAATGAGCTAAAGTGGATTGGGGATTCAGGATTCTAGTTAAAGATGCAGTGTACACACATTTGATGCTCTAACTCGTTGTATTATTGTGTGTTCATTCCATGCTCTATTTCAATCTTGATTTTTTATGAAACAGAAGATCATTTTAGGCTCTTTTTGGTAGTTGGCATATTCTACTTGTTATTCGATTTATCAGCAAAATAAGGAGCCTTTGACATAGTTATTATACTGACTTGGAAGTTATCAAATGCTTTGCCTGTTTCAGAAAATTCAGTTATATTCGTTCATATAAACCAAATAAGGGCTACAAATGGGGCCTTAGTTTCTTCTTTCTTGATAAAGTTCATAATGATTTGATATTGATCTACTTCGTATAATCTTGGTACCTTCTCTATCATACTGACGATTAGCCAAACTGCAGTGTTTCATATGTTCTTCTTTTACTGGTCTCACACTTTCAGGCTCCTCAGACGATCCATCACGTCCAAGAAATGAGAAAAAGGCTGATGGTCACACCTCTTCAAACAAGAGTGCAGGTTATAGAGCACTCATGATATGCGCTGGACTTGTAGCGGTTGCTGGGTTATCTTTTTTCCTTTTCAAGTTTTGGCAAAAGAAAAGGCGTGAAGAGCAATATGCTCGTCTGCTAAAGTTGTTTGAAGAGGACGACGAACTTGAAATGGAGCTTGGCCTTCGGGATTGAATCCATATCCACACATTTTTTTGTTTCAATGAATCAAGGTGAGAGCCTCGTAGTATTTTCGTACTTTTGTAGTTCTGAACACTATATTAATGGTTAAGATGATAAGCTATGTGTCGCACATGTAATTAAAGATTTAAAGCCTTACAGCTTAGGCGCATTGTTAGCATTATAGGCTTATTCACTTGATTAATAATTGCCGACTAGGTGAATCCCTACCATCTACTGGAGACCTAATTAGTCATCCTCATCATCTTCGCCACCATAATCCCACCTCGCTGTGAGTGATGACTTGGCTAAAATCAGTTGTATGGAATTTATGATGTTATATGGTTACAATTAGTTGCACGGAATTTGTTACTGCATTCATCTCTAAACAATTCAGAGACTTTCCTTTCCGGTTTATCTAAATAATTACCCCTATTTCCTTTTATGAAAAGCATCATGTGGTTCATATTATTTCTCTTTTTCTAGATATATTTTAATCACACAGTTTTCTTTTTCTTAATTAATCTCCATGTGATGTCATTTCATTTTCATTTCATTTTCATTTACCCCAGTGCCGCAAAGGCTCCCACCTACGGTGGGGTAGGGGGGGTCGGATGTACGCAGTCTTACCCCTGTACTAAAGCATAGAGAGACTGTTTCCGGATGACCCATAGTGAAAATCGCATCCAAGATTGCATGGACTGACTGCTGCTCCATAACAAAGAAGCGCAGACAGTTTAGTGAGCCATTTTGCTTTATTCCATCATAATCTCAAGCCAAAAAATAATGAATCTTTGGCTCCATTGCAAATGATGGAAAACTCCATGTGATGTGTATCAGAAAAATAAAATCAACGGGGTGAACCGTTGCCCAGATAATCAACGATAAATAAATACCGTTGCCCAGAGCCAAAAGGCTAAACCAACTTTTATTCCCAGATAATCAGAATGAACCCTGGCGAGGGGTATAAATAGCCTTCTACAAGAAACCCTAATCAAGCCCAAATTACTTAAACCCTAATTAAGCCCAATTTAACTTAACTAACCACTCTACTAATAATAGGCCCAACTAAAACATAACGATAAATTTTATAAATAAATAAAACTATAATCCCTAGCCCAGAACCGGCCTACGGAAGTGAGCCCACTCCCGTTCCCGCCCCAGGTTCTTCTTGCTCTCTATCAATCCACCCCCTTCAAATAACCTTGTCCTCAAGGTTGTAATCTCGCAGATCGAGGACTGAAATTTCCAACCATGGAATAGAATGGAAAATATCCTTCATCACCTTCCGGAACCTTTTCCCGGCCAGTTATTTCACAGTACTCATGTTGTTGGAGGTCCAACTCCTCATCCTCCTCAACTATCATTACCCGCAACTGCTTAAAGGGGCAGTAATGCCCTGGTGTAAATGGTTTCTTACACCTAAAGCATAATCCTTTAGCCCTCAATTCCGCGAACTCCTTTGGCGGAAGTCGAGTGAACTGAGAACGTGTCGTAGGCTGCCCGGACAGTCCTGACTTTGTCCTCGGGGGTTGTCCACTATCCTTCGGGAAGCTGCCACTTGATTCCTGTAGGCTGTCACCACTTCACCACTGGCAGTCAACGGAGGGCTCGTGTTTGGCCTTAAAAAAGCTACTGGAACGTACACCTGAAGGATTATAATTCTGGCTGTCACTTCCTCCACGCTGGACGGACAGATTGCACTCCACATCACGAGCTAATTCCATGGCTGTCTCCAAGCTATTCGGGCGCAGCAACCGCAAAGAACCCCGAACCGGTCCCTTTAGTCCATTCATAAAATACCCGAGGTAATGATGGTCAGACAACCCAGGAACCTATCTAGCCAACTGGACAAAGATCGAGGTATACTCCTCCACCGTCCCTGTCTGCTTGACCCCGGACAATCGCTCAAAACGACTGCCCGTAAATCGTGTGTCAAACCTCGCCACCAGTGCCTGCGTAAACTCTTCCCACGTCATGCTAGGTTTCCGCTTCCTTAACCACGTTACCCAGTACAAGGCTGCTCCTTCCATGGCAACTACAGCCGTTGGTACCTTCCTCTCTGGCGGCGTAAAACTCAATTCAAATTGCTGCTCTGCCCTAGCAAGCCAACCAATGGGATCCGCCCCGCCAAACGAAGGAAGCAGCGCCTCCTGCGTGCCTCGCGAACGTCGCCTAGAAGCGGCGAAGCCGCCCTGGTCTTCGAAGTCGCCGCCGCTGCTGAAGGTGGCCACCGTTCGATCTGCGACGTCATCGCCGCCGCCGAATCCCCAGACGCAGCTGTCGCCTTCCCTCCAGTTTCGCCTGCCGTCGTGAGCGCAGCCAGGGCGGCTGCGATCTCACCCAATTGCGCACTTAGCGCATCTAGTTTCTAGTTCATCGAGGCCTATTCGGCCTCCACCTCCGTCAAACGCTCGGTGTTAGATCTAGTCATTCCGGCGGAAACGGGATCCGGCAGGTCGGACCAATTGATGTGTATCAGAAAAATAAAATCAATGGGGTGAATCGTTGCCCAGATAATCAACGATAAATAAATACCGTTGCCCAGAGCCAAAAGGCTAAACCAACTTTTATTCCCAGATAATCAGAATGAACCCTGGCGAGGGGTATAAATAGCCTTCTACAAGAAACCCTAATCAAGCCCAAATTACTTAAACCCTAATTAAGCCCAATTTAACTTAACTAACCACTCTACTAATAATAGGCCCAATTAAAACATAACGATAAATTTTATAAATAAATAAAATTATAATCTCTAGCCCAGAACCGGCCCACGGAAGTGAGCCCAATCCCGTTCCTGCCCCAGGTTCTTCTTGCTCTCTATCACCATGCCTGGTCAAATTTCATACTCTGTATTTATTAAGGGACATGCGGGAGGGATTATGTCATTTTAGCTATGTTGCACGGAAACGCGAAAATCATGAGGAAACGGGAAATGTCAACTTTTGCTCTAAAAACGCTTGTTTGAAGAGTTTGCAAAGAGTTTTCGAAATGGAAACGTATTCTTTCCCGAGAGTTTCCGTGCCACAGAGCATTTTAGAGAGCATTGGGTGCAACCTTTCCATCGGATTAAAATATAAGATGGAATTCCTAGACTATCATCGCACTACTTTATTTCTTGCATGAAATTACTACACGTAAGATGAAAAAATGTTGAGTAGCATTAGCTCTTAGAAAACAATTTTGTGTTTTTTGTTTGTAAAATGTAAAAAAGTGTCGTTTTCTTTATCTTTAAGCAATTTAAAGTTAAAATTGTAAGCAAGGTGAAAGGGGAATATTGCTTAAAGTTGCTTTTAACTTTTTCTAATACTTTACTTGAATAGATACTTGTTTTACCAAATACTTCAACTTCAACTTTTTAAAATCATTTTCAACAAGGGAAACACATTTATAGTATTTACAACTTACAAGGAGTGTGTCCATTTGCTAATAAAGCGTTTTTTTGCTTTATATTTAAAAAACTAACTGTCGTGCTTGAACTTTACATTCAAGTACTCAAAGCTAAAAGCTGATTTTCACTTGGTACAATTTTTGGTTAACCAGTTCACCAAAAAGTAACTTATAGCTTTTACAAGCACAAGCAAATCAAACACTAGTGTGTCATGTTCCCATACAAGATTGATATTGTAAAGTCAATGTCGAACATGACCAAGATCTCACAGAATTACTGTTTTTTTTTTTACTTTTTATGTTCAATCCTCCTTTGCTTCAAAATTCAAAACTTGAGGACTCATACTGGATGCAGGCTGCAGCTTGCTTCTTTTGATCAAATTGATCTTTTCTTATCAAATTGGCTTGTCATACTTTTTCAAATTCTATCTGCACAAAAGGGATGAGAATATTTCCCTACTACTTATGCACTCTCACACTCATTCTTACCTCGTGCTGCATTCATTTTTTTGCAGGTGAAAGTTGCACGACATCTCAGGAAATGCGCGCTTGGCTGACCACGTGCAGTTTAGGAACATTTCCAGAGGCTTGAGGCCTTGAAAGACACTTTTAGAATCCCAGGTATTAGATTTGCAATGGAAGGGTTGGTCTGTAAAAGCTGTTTACTAGTGGTAGAAAGTGTTCATTTATATCAAAGTTTTTACCATTTTATGCGGTTCTTCACTTGTGAAGCTAACTGCTTATATTGGGAAATGTCAGGAATAACTCTGGTGCAAAGCTGTTTCCCTACTTTCTAGTTTGAAGTGCATATTTATACTTATCTGATACATAGTGTAGCGCTCATGCATTGGATGATCATAAGATTTACTACTCGTAATTAATAGTGTGTTGCGTGGTTATACCCAGTAATTTTTATTTGATTAGATTATGTTTGGCACAACATAATCTAAAGTTAGTTAAAATGTGTATTATCTGTTATTGTTTGCATTCGATCTACTATTTGGAACTAAATTTAGATAATGGGTTGTAACGTGAAACACTAGTTAAATGAAGTAGAGAAGTGGTCAGTGGTGTGCTAAATATCGCTTAATCCTTCCAAACTCTATATGAACAAACACAAAAATAAACAATGAAGAGGTGGATTGTACATTTGTACGGAGTATTAGATACATTAGATACTCCGTATTCGGGCGGGCCATTTTGTATTGTGAGAAGACTGTTTTTTATCTGTAAATTCAGTTCGCAACCAAATCTGTCTTGTTTTGTACAAGTAGCAAAACTGTTTTGTACTACTCCCTCCCTCCTCACATAAAATTTCTCATTTACCTTTTGTGACGTCATATCTAATAGTTCTCATTTCTATTTTAGAGATAACTAGAACATTTAAAACAGTTTAATTATAAAAAATGAGAACATTTATAACAATTTAATCATCAAAATTACTTCTCAAAATATACTTGTACTACATTTTAGTGGAATTCATCATCCATTCAGCTAGGGGTGGACACACTCATTGCTGGGGATGCTGGTTGGTTTCTGGAAAGACTGGTTGCAGCAATATCAAAGCAGTTAACTGTAGGAGTGGACTTGGGTCGGTCCAACCGGCCCGGAACCGGACCGGTCCGCTACTGTGCGGGCCCGGACTAGCCCAGTGAACCGGTTGGTGCCCGGTTCGGGCCACCCGGTCCGGTGAGGTAGGCGTTTGTTACAACATCATCTGGATCGGAGAAGAGTGAAGAAAGAAGATTGAGCAACGAATTGTAGGAAGAGGAGTGAAGGTTGCTGCCGGCGAACTTAGGCGGCGGCCGTGTGACCTGCTACTCCCCACTTTGTATCCTGGTTACGTTTTCTTATTTTAATATAAGTCACTTTCGTTCAAAAAAATCTCTATTAATTCAAAATGTATAAACCTGTATTATAGGTATATTAACGATCACATACTTCATCAATGACACTGTAGATTACGCTTACGAAAAATGGTCCTACGTGTTAGCTTTACAACAATCATTTGCTTGATAAAATTACCCAATTAAAGTCTAAAACATGCAATCTTCTTTCATTTAAATATTTAATAATAACACTTATTTTATCTAATAAGATCATAATACCTCAATAACTCTATAAAATGTATAAACTAGCCGCCATTGTCGTTGCTTAGAGACCCACCAATTGTTGTTATGCATGCAACCTACTGCTGTCATCGTCACCGTCATCACTATTAGAATCTAAAGTTCATATTGTTTTTAATGCAAAAGGTAAACCAAAAAAAATAAATGGGGTAAGTCTCAGACTCTCGGTTGTCATTTACTAGGTATTATCAATAGCGAACAAAAAATTACATGAGGACATTAAATACATATGTACAGAATACCCTCATTGATTCTATTTTACAATAATATAAAGTTCACTTTGAGAATTGAAAAGATGGTGTTAGTGTTCAATCCTTCTTGATCAAGATGGAGAGTTACCAAATTGAGTCCTCAGTAACATTGAATCAATTTTAGATCGAGTTGCAATGTCAACATCTTAAATTTATTCCGTCACCATCCATTCTTTTTAGGTACCATATATGGAGTAGCACTTGCTAATATTTTTCTCTATATTCTAGAATAAAACTTAAAATATATTGTGCTAATATTTTTCTCTATATTCTATAATAAAACTTAAAACTAAGATTGACACATAACAAATTTGATAAAATTTGTATGACTTTAAGTCATTCTTACTTTATATTCTTACTTTATTGATTTAATATTAATTACATAAATCACTTTTTATTAGTTTGCATGTCACTCTCATGTCTCATTGTTAGTGGGTTAGAGAGTATAGTTTTTAAAAATTAAAATTTATTTACGTAATACTACATCCGTATCAAAAATTTTTGTCATTTTTAAAACTTTGACCAATTATATCTTTTTATTGGAAATTATTTAAAATGTAAAAATTATACCCCCCCATACCGAAAAGGTACGCCAAATTGATTTTTCTAGGTCAATGACAATCAACTTTGACTAATGATATTTCTTAATACGAAATTATTTAGAATATGAAAATTATATAAAAATGTTCATGATTCAAAATACTTTCATAAAAGTATAGAATTTATAAATTATATACAAATATAATAATTAAAGTCATCGTCCAAAGTTTGACATCATTGACCAAGAAAAGTCAATATGGCAAACCTTTTCGGGACGGAGGTAGTATAAAAATGTTCTTTGTTAAAAGTACTTTCATAAAAATATAAAATTATACTCCCTCCGTCCCGTTGGAATGATCCCGCTTTCCCTTTTTGGATGTCCCGTTGGAAAGTTCCCATTTTCCTAAATGGAAAGTTATCCTACATCAAAACAGGGTCAAACAGTGCAAAACAGTGTCGAAACAGTGACAAACAGTGTCAAAACAGTGTCAAAACAGTGTCAAAACAGTAAAATTTACCCTCGGTAAGTTTATTTCCTTAATATGTGTGTAGGTCAAACCGGGAACATTCCAACGGGACGGAGGGAGTAACTTTCATGACACTATATTGATGGAGTATAAACCAGTCTTTTGAAATGACAGAGATACCAAATATTAGCCCAAAAGGGCATTTAGAAGAGCCCTATACTGACACTTCTTTTTAAGACGAGTGTCCATCTTCCCTTCTGCTGAATTCCTCCCCGACTCGCTTGGTGCAGCCTGACGCCACAAACACGGCAATTCACCGGCTTCCAGACGCCCATGCTCAGCCTCTTCCGACAACTAACACAACCCAAAAAAGCCATACTTATATTGGCGGTGTTCGAGATCTTTGACCGTGTATCCGGTCAACGATACGCCACTCGATCAATCCTTCCCTTTCGGTAAGAATTTGATTTTTTTAAATGCTTGTGTTTAACAAAATGGGAAGGCCGATCCCCCCTCATTGCGGATTTATGAAATTGAGCACTCTTTTTATACTCATATGGAGTTCATGTCTCTACTCTCGTCTCTCGCTACCTCGTTTTGTGAGCAGTATATGTGTAGTGTGGTGGATTCGTGTATATTGGTGATTGTTTCTTCCATTTTCATATAGTGCAGTTTGATTTTTATAACCAATTGATTATTGATTAATGAAGGCATTTTTTGTATTGCCGAGAGCGTTTTTGCTGAAATGGGCCAAATCATCTGATTTTTTTTGAAAGGAAAGACATACTCCCTTGGGTAACATCCATTGCAACCTAAATAAACAAGTAAAAAGCTACTTGTTTTGCTTAGTCAGCCACTCTTTTGCTACCAAGTGCAACTCAAAGTAAAATCTCTAGTTCCATTAAGTGAAATCTTGACTTTGAATTTCCTTAGATTCGTGGAAATATTATAGTGTACTTGTTCAGACGTTCAGTTTGCAGATATTGCTAATGGAATATACTCTGTAACATTTTGTTTGCAGTTGGTTCTAGAGTTGTTACTTCCTGGTATAGCCAGGGCCGGCCCTGGGCCTGTCTGCCCAGCCCAATCGCACAGGGCCCGGTATTTTGGAGGGCCCAAAAAAAATTAGTATTACCCCAGCCCAAAACTTTTGTTTTTAGCCCAAATCATTTCCCCAGCCTCAAAATCGGCCCTGATCCCGTCTTCCCCTGCTCTCTTCCGACTCTTCCCGACTTCCCGTCTTCCTGTCTTCGCGTCTTCACGACAAAGGCCAAAGAGACACCGCCGGTCCGCCACGGCGCCGCGCCACTCGGCCCACTCCGCCAGACCGCCGTCCACAACCGCACGCCTCTGCCAAAGGGACACCGCTCGGCTGCTCTCCAGTCTCCACGAGGACCACGACTCGACTTCAACAGTTCAACCGACGACTCCGAGTCTCCCACGACACTCTGACTTCAGCCGACCGCCTCCGCCGCCCTCCGGACTCCCTCAGACGCCGTCCTTCCGGTCAGTTACTAATTTGCTAATTCTTTTATTCATTTAGTTGCTAATTTGCTAATTCTTGTGAACTTTCAATTTATTGAATATTTGAATTGATGATTTGTTTGTTGAAATCTTGTAATTTGTTTATTTTCAGATTTAATGTTTGTTGAATTGTTGTGTTGTTGTTATTTGTTGATTTTTGTAGGAGAATTTCAATAATTGTTGATTTTTATAGGAGAATTTCAATAATTGGTAACAATTTGCTTGCGTTTAAACTTGAAAAAAGCCCCAAATTTTATTGTTGCACAAGTACTCCCTAGAAGTTTTATACTTTAGTTAGTCATTGATCTTTATTAAGCAAATATCGTGAGAAGGAATGGATTGAAAGACAATTTTTCTGTCTTAGGAAGGGTTAGACAATATTCAGTACATGAAACACATTAACAATTACAAACATAAGGAAAATTAATAGGTAAAATAAATTCTGTTAAGTTTGAAACGTTACTTAAAATTGCCAGATGATATTTTAAGTTTGAAACGTTAGAGCAGATGCAACATCCTTAAAGTCAATCATATATTTTCCATGACACTAAACTGAGTTTACATTTTCTAGATTTGTATGGTTGTTTCCATTTTCTAGATCTCAATAGCGATCAAACTATACTATAAATAGTTATAACTACCGGTCTAAAGATCGTTCATGAAATTGGTTTTGAATAATGAATAAGGGTTCCATAGTACTCGTCTGAAGTGTAAATTTTGAAGTTATTGAAAGTAATGTGATGTAAATATTTATCCTTTTCGCTGCCAACAATTGGTGTGGTGAACCTAAATTTAATAAAATTACAGTTAGGTGGTGTGTATGAGAAGTACATAGCCAGAAGTTACGTAATAGGCATTTTAGCGAACACTATGTAGGCATTACTTGAGGACATTGATTGTGGGCATGTTTGAAATGATTTGAACCTATCGTAATATGTATATATGTGATCAAACATTGAAATTCCAGATTGGACTGCTATGGTCGTGCACTCTGTATAAAAAAACAACCAATTTCTATGCAATTGATCACATATTCGTACATGCACCCAGTAAGTTGGTTTTTTTGTAGTTAGTTGGGATTGGTGATTCTGAAATTCAAAACAAGCGCATTTCTTTTCTTAAACCGCACATCAATTGTCTTTTTACAAGTTGCCAGTGTTTTTGAATAATAAATCTAAGCATATAATTAAATGTGGTGATGGTTGAGAATATAAAGCCACGATTTGAAAAAATTAACATTTATAAGACAAAATAAAGTTGTTTAAATGTAGTAAATGCAGACCATGAGCAGATGAGTTTTAAAGTGGAAGTTATTGGAAATACCTTGTCCGACTTGCTTGTCGATCGTAGAGACAAGGATTAAATGAGTAGGAATAGACAGGACTCTGCGTATGGATGGATATATTGTCACCATGCATGGCGGATGTTGGAGGACCTGGAACATTGTGGTCTGTGGCTGTTAGAAACCGTAGGAGTAGAGAGTATGAGCCGGCATTTGGGATTACGAGGCTTGTAAACAGATGAAACGGATGCGTGAAATTGAAATCTTTCCGTTTGAAAAAACGACACAAATGGATGGAAAAAGGACCAAGCTAAAGTTGGTTGGCTTTTATTATATAAGCCGAGATATTTTTGCATTTTCACATAAATTGATGAAGGATTTCAAGTCCGGGTTTATGTTGATCCGTTTCTATATATATATATATATATATATATATATATATATATATATATATATATATATATATATATATTGTCAGAGTTTTTCTAAAGGTTGTGTCTTCACACAGTCGAGATCATAAAGTGCAATCTGTAATTGATTCATATGAGTATTTTTCTGGTTTGGTATTTTTTGAATTTATTGATCATATATTCATATAGTGTATTCTTGGAGATAACAGAAACTGGAATGGCCCTTTCAGGGGTTATAGGCTTATAGCAGAGGTGTTTCTGTGTGTGCGCTCTGCAGAATCATATACTACATGCAAACTAACCATTTAAAGGATTTATAGTTTTAAATATTTAAAAGTTTAGGCTTTATGAACATTGTGTTCTGCACAATAATTAACATAACGTGTAAAAGAATTTACAAATTCTTGTGGTTCTATGCTCATTCCAATTTACAGTATTAAAAAATAACAATTCACATCTAACCACAATAATAAAATTGTAGTTGGTTCTTTAAGGCTTCAACATACCATGCAGAGAGATTCTACGCAATAGGTTTAACGTTAATGTTTCCACATTCCATTGCAGGCTGCATGGTTTTCATTTCAACTTCTTCTTGACATTCTTCCTTGACAAAAAAAAATGGTGTTGCATAAGGTATTAGATAACAACAATGGATTTATTGGTTATGAAGCTCCCCCAATACCGTGATCCACCAAATCAACCAGGGTTAGTATATAATTTCCTTTTATGAGCTAGAATTTACCAACTCAAATATAATTAAATTATTTTGTTTCAGACTTGCCGGCCGCCTCCCTCATTACGTTTATTACTAACTTGTATGTTAAGACAATTTGCTTGTGTTGCAACTTGAAAAAAGGCCCAAATTTTTTTGTTGCATAGGGTCTCCGTTTTCTCAGGACCGGCCCTGGGTATAGCAAAGCTACTTAAGCTGTAAAATTATGGATAATATGCAAAAAGGAAAAGATGATGAGCAATCGAGAACAGGGGAGATGCAAGGGACAGGATTGTCCAATGGTAGTTTGGTGGGAAAGATTCAAGAACAGTATAACAAGATAAAAGAGAATGCAGAAACATACCCTTATGTATGGGGTTCATATATAGCTGTATATGGGGGCTTTGGGCTTTGGCTTGTATATAGAGGTATGAAACTCCGCAGAAAAGAAGACAGGGTTCGTGCTCTTCAAGAGCAGCTCCGCAAGCTTGTTGAATCTCAAGAGAGTGAAAGCTCATCAGTTTCTGGATCTAGCACGATTCACCCCCCAAAGGATAAAAACACTGACTATTAGCTGGTTTGTTATGTCCTCTTGAAGCTCATCATTGTTACGGAGAAGTATTATTTTTGAAAATAGTCCAGTCATATCCCACTGCCACTATGACAATCTCGTTAGTGGTGACTGTTTTGCTTTCATCTCACTTCTGGTGTGTGATTATGTATTTCTTGCCATTTATGGTCCTCCCGATCAGTTATCCTGTCAATTGTAACATTTCTTATTGATTTTTCACTGGAGAAGGGCCTTGAGTGTTTGAAATTCACAGTCATGCATCAAAATATAGAAAACCTAAATACCTGGACTGAAAGTGACCCAATAGACATGAGATAGAAATTCAGAAAGTAGATGTTTTTTTGTAAGTTTTCATTTCTGTCTTGTTGGACCCTACTACGTCAAGTTGGGCTAGGTTGGATGACTCAGATTTTCTCACCTTAATTCATTGGACACACCCACACGATCAATAGTCCTTGACAGTTGACACCCTTTGTTTTGTAAGCCTCATTTCAGTAAATACTGGGTTGGCACTTGGCAAGAGGAACATTATATCGCTGAATGGAATTGTTTGGGGTGGATGCGGTGCCTTTGTCTTTTACTCGGTATTAATCTATTCTTCGGTTATAGTTTGGTTATTCATTGTTTGGTTTTCAAGTCAGCCGCTTTGTATTTTGTACTCGCAATCATTTTGAATAGGCTAAAAGGTCAAATAGGTACATGAACTAACTTAAAGTGTTCAATTAGTCCTTTGTATAGGAGGTTCTGCTCGGCCGTCGCCCATTGGGAAAGTTCCCGGTGGAATTTTTTGATGAAATTTTTTGAACGTCTTCTTAATTAAGTCTAGTTTACTCATATCAAATTTCAGTTAAAAATTCAACAGGGAAGGCAGTCAAATGATTTTTTGAAGATAACTGTGCAGTTAAACATCGTAGTACATTTTGGAAAATCATTTGACTGCCTTCCCGATTTAATTTTTAGCTGAAATTTGATATGGTTAAACTAGACTCAATGAAGAAGATGCTAAAAAAAATCATCAATTTTTTTTACCGGGAACCGCCCCAATTGGCGACGGTCGGGCAGAACCTCCTATATAAGGGGCTAATTGAACACTTTAAGTTAGTTCATGTACCTATTTGACCCTTTAGCCTTTTGAATAAACTAATGAACTTGCTTTTTAGCTATTCTGAGATTTTGTTGAAGAAAGCTATTCTGAGTTTGATGAAATGGTCATAGTTTTGCATTTTTGGATGACACAACATGGCGCCTGTCACATGTCACATGCGCCTGGATGATGTGAAGGTAGGGGTGGACCAATTCCGGTTCGGGCTCGTTTCGGGCCTGGGTCCGGCCGGGCCTCGGTTCATGAAGGGGAGACCCGGAACCGGCCCGGGTAACCCCCGGGTCCGGGCCGGGCCGAGCTGGGCCTCAGTTCTATTATTTTTTTAATTTTTTTTGGCTTTTCCTAGTTAACCCCCAACCCTCCCCGCTCACCCCCAAACCAACCCTAACCACCTCAAATGGCCTAAAATACCCACCCGAACCCAAATCTTAAAAAAAATCAAAAAATAAATAAATAAATTGGTCCGGCTCGGGCCCGAACCGGCCGGGCCGGTTCACCTTTTGAAGGGCCCGAGCCTGAACCGCCATCCCACCGGGACGGGTGGCCCGAACCGGTCAACCAACCGGTTCACCGGTCCGGTCCGGGCTTGCATAGGAGCGGGCCGGTTTCGGTTCCGGGCCGGTTGGCCCGACCCGAGTCCACTCCTATGTGAAGGCCATTTGCCACAAAAAACGTTCATGGCGATGACTAAACATGTGGGGGCGCTTATTGGACCCAACGTGGCGGCGCTATATTGGACCCATTGCCTTGCCTTGTCATGCTACGTGCATGGTCTTTTAAATACAAGTGGATTTTAAGATTTTTAGTTACTTTTGGGCTTTGTACCTGATCAACAATTAACCAATTAGCCTGTTAACATGGCTTTGATTACTAAGTAATTAGTCATGCTAATAACACTCCCAATAACAAGTATTTCCCGCAAATTATAACGTGTGATCGGCCCACCATGCGCATGGTGTGTCGATTCCAAAACTACATTGTTTTGTTAATTAAAAAGGAGAGCAAGTCGGCTGAGAAGGAAGCTAAGGAGTTCCCGTCGTTTGGAGTTGTATGGTCGCTGTCGTTGGTGACGGGCGCACCCCATATTGAGATCCACTCTGTGTTGATGCACCGTTGCAAATCCACTCCGAATTGAGATCCATCCAGTCGCATGCCCTTCTGTTTCACCGACATAGATGATGACGAGCTCCTTTGTGTCAGCTAGAGCTCTGCGGCTGTCTGTTTACTCATCCAACGAAAGTAAAAAGCATCCCACTAATTAAATTGATACATATACGGAGTATTTGAAGAGAAGGAAAGATGCAAATTATATATATATATATATATATATATATATATATATAGTATAGAGTATATATATACATATATATATATATATAGATATAAATATTATATAACTTACATTTTGATTTGGTTCAACTTACATAATTTACATTTCTATGTATCTTAAGTTACATATTTATTAGCGTGAGTTACATGTTAACTTTTCTCAGCAAGTTACATCTAACTTACGCGTGAATTACATTTTCCATCATGCGAGTTACACCGCAATATAATGAGAGTTATACAACATAATAAACCCCTATTATTCAAAGAAAAATCATTTTCATAAAAAAAAACATTTTTATAGCCCTGATATTAAAAACAGAACATATACATTATTTATGTAAAATAGGTGGGTAATTAGACTCCTTTTTTCATTGAAATCAATATTTTATTTCTTATATTATATATTGGACAAGTTACACTTCGACTAGACTTGAGTTATAGATGGACTCGGGTCCGGGCCGGGTCCGGGTCGGGCCTAGGCCCGGGCGGGCCGGCGGGTCAGAAATGGTGGACCCGGGCCGGCCCGGGCCCATTATTTTTTTTTTGTTTTCCTCTTCCTAATTAACCCCCCTCCCACCCCCAACCCCCCAAACCACCCCAAATGGCCCAAAATAGCTAGCCCAACCCGAAAAGTTAAAAAAATTGAAAAAAAATAGTTTTTGGCCCAAACCGGGCCCGGGCCCGGCCCCGGCCGGATCGGGCCTTGTTTTGGGTGACCCGAGCCCGGACCGGAAAAGCCACGGGCCGGGCCTACCCGGACCGGTCACTGACCGAGCCACCGGGTCGGGCCGGAACAGTACCGGTCCCGGGCCGGTTCCGGGTCGGGCCACCCGGCCCGAGTCCATCCATACTTGAGTTACATTCATCAATAACGTGAGTTACATTTCTTTACATGTAAGTTACATCATTCTGTTACTGGAATAAGAGAAAAATAGAAAATAAGTACTGTTCACGCGTGTACTGTTCACAAATCTTCTGTTCACGAGTTTTTTTTTAAAAAAGATTAAAACTACGTCGTTTTGGATGTGAAGCATGGTGCTCACTAGTCACTATGGGAGCATCCCACGGTATACGAACTGAGTATTCCCCCTGTCCTAGTTTAAGATTCTAACTTTCATTGTTTTGATATTTGTTCTCATTTTTATTTTATCAAATAATTAACACTTTTAAATGACAATTTAACTATCAAATATTAAAAATAATACATTTAGAACATCACAGTTATGATTAATGATCTCATCATGTTATATATTCATAAGAACTTTTTCTCAAAATATATTTGTATTATCTTATTTAATTATTTTCTAATAATCTTACCTTTTTGCAATTGGAACTTTAAGTTAGGATAAAGGTAGTATATATAATTAAAGATGCCAACTAAGTTAAAGTCATAGAAAGTTATGCAACTGGTGTAAAATCGTAATATCATAAAGTGTTTTTACTTGTACTTATTTTAGTCTCAGATCAAGTTAGTTCAGACCTTAATAGTTGCAAATAATATAAAGATCAGATATCTAATAGATTAGAGCCGACCAAATTAGAAAATTTCAGACCAAATAAAATATTATGTCAAAGCTCCCTAAACGAGGAATGACTAAAGCCGAAATATGCGGCTATTCAACATTTCAACTACTCCGTATTTAAACTTCAAATGTTTTTATTAAAGTATGAATATTAAACTTTTTTGCTCATTCTTTCAAAAAAGAATTTTTATGCTCGTCCTTTTGATTTGGTCATAGATTTATAGTGTCTAAACTTCATCTATTTAGTATTTATTTTTTTAATTTCATGTGCCTTATGAATGTGTCTTCATCATGGCGATGGGGAAATGCCTCAAAAGTCCGAGCTATGATTGTTATCATAGGCTGATGACAACTGCCAGGGGCGGAGTTAGAGAATCGGACCACTTTGGACCGGTACAAAGAACATTTTTAAGTGAAAATACACATACTTTTTACCTTAAAAATCAAAGCATTTTTTGAATTCGGGGGTGGGTCAAGGCCTAGGTTTTCCCTTTCTAGCTCCGCCACTGACAACTATGCATAGTTTATAATTCGTTAAGATTGGATTGTTTTGGAAGAAGGTGACTTACAATCTTATATTGAATAATCAGAACTTAAGCAAGTTACAAAAAGACAAAAAGCCCTCCCTTTTCGACCGCCTGCCCTTGAATCAGACTCAGAGCCTCTCACCTTCGCAAATAATATATAAGCTCTTGTCACTTAACTAATAATTGAGACTAGAAAATGTATTAAAACTATTCTGAGATATTTTTTTGGAAATAAAAGAGACTTTTTATATTAATATCAAAAACATCATACAAGACAACCTCTAGACAATTCGTACTAAAGATCCAATTGTAAACCCTAAGAATATACTTAGAGTCAATCTACTCATACAAAATAACTTGACTCGCTAGACACAAAGCGAGCAATTCTAAGTCTAAAACGATCGGAATCAAAACACTTCCTAACATAAGTATTCCAAATATTTAAATTATGAAACTAAAACTAGTATTCCAAATATTTAAACTATGAAACTAAAACTACTCGAACTAAAATAAATACAAGTACTATCAAAGCAAATAAAGATACTAATGGAATAAAACCTTTTCATAAAACTGTTCTTGACACGGAAGTGGTTCCGGAGGAGGAGGGCAGAAACTCCTGACCAGTCGAAACCGACAGTGACACCAGTGGAGGAGCTAGGGGGGGGGGGGGGGGGGCAAGGGGGGGCAAGCGCCCCCGCTCCGACTAATTTTTTTTTTTACTAGTATTACTTATAATATGTTTCTTGCCC